TTGACAGGGACATTCTAGTTTTTCTTTCGTCCCAGTAAAATGATTGTGAGGGCAGCGAGGGAGTCCTGTAGCATTCCCATAAATGCAAGTATAGACAAAAGTCAGTAAGCAACAAACTTAATCCTCTAAAAATAAAATAATATTTCTGTGAAACTGTTTCTGCACTGTTATAGACTTCCACTTTCCTTAAACAGAATGATAATATCATCTAGTCTCTTCCTGCTAAGTCAGGAGAAGCATATTTAGAAGCAGTGGGCTTAAAGGACTCAGCTAGAATGATCTAAGGAATCCAGGCCTCCCCTATCCCCTTGTTGCCATTAAGTGAGGAGTCAATAAAAGCTAAATAAATGTGTCAATTAGAGTTGTCAAGCCCTGGCCTAGGACAGCAAGGCTGGTGGTGATCCCTCTTCCCTTAGCGCCTCTTCAAGTAGGAAAAATAGCATCTGTTAGGACTGCTGTAAATATAGCACTACTCACACTGATAATGGCATGATAGGTATTAAAGTTCAAAGATTTCAGTTTCCCTTTTATTATTCACTAAGTGCTGAAGAATCATTTTTCCCCCACAATTGAGGAACCAGCCCAACATGTAGCTACCAAGAAAAGGCAAAGCAATCACAAAGATGAACATGTAGAAAAGGGTTAACCCAAAGTATGGCAAAGCTTTGACTGTCACGGAACCCAGGGGAAGTCAAGAGCATTCATGGTGCTGTACCACCCAGAGCACCGAATATAGAAGAGTCCTTATGGAGAGTTTCTTTCATTAGCACTGCTCTCTTCGGTAAACTGGTTGGCCTGGAAAGAAAGCCCCATCTAAAGCTTGATGACTTTCTCATTAGATGCAAAGAATTTCTGTGCAATGAGCTGATTCCTAAATGAAGAAGGGACATGTGACATAGTCAGCAAGTATTTCCAATTTTGTACAAGATGTTTGCAGAATAAACTTTTCCTTATGGAGCTATTAATTATCAAAATAGACCTGATTTTTTTAAGGGGTTAATAAAATGAAAATAAAATAGCAATATTGGTAATGATGTTGACAAACATATTTATAACATGCAAAATTGCCAGAATTATTCAGAAATAATCTGAGTTACTAAACAGCTAGGTTATTTTAGATAATTTAGTAATTATTTGAAATTATAAATTGAAATAATTTAGAGTTTCTCACTTTAAAATGTCAATCTTTAACCAAGTACTAATGAACTCAATGCAAATTAAATTAAGTTTATGATAGTAAAAGACTACAATCCTTGCTTATTCTCTGGGAAAACACCAAATAGCAGATGACCCCAGTGCAGCGAGAGGTCCTGGAGGTCCCAGGGACCCTGAATGAAATTTTATATTAAAAAAAAAAGTCTATAGTCCTTATGAGAATTCTGAAAAAAAAAAAAACCTTTCTTTAACGAATTTTTTCTACTTAAGCCAAAATATCAAGATAACATCAACAGGGTATAAGCCATTATAAGCCATATTGCTAGCGTGTGTGCTTAAAATGAAGTGATGTAAGTGGCCCTTTACATATGAGTTCTTCCTACCCCAAACCTATCCCCCAAGTCTAATCATGAGAAAAATACTAGAGAAACCCATATTCAGGGGCATTCTACAAAGTGCCTGATCAGTACTCCTTAAAACATTCAGGTCATCTAAAACAAGGGAAGCCTGAGAAACTGTCATAGTCAAGATAAACCCCACGGATTCAAAATAACCAAATAAAATATGCAATCCTCAATGATATCCTGGAACAGATGAAGGACATTAAACAAAAAGTAAGGACAACTAAGTATAGGGGTCAGTTAATAATATTGTGTCCATATTGATTAATTGGTTGTTACTAGTGTACTAGGGTAATGTTAGAGGTTAACAATGGAGGAACCCGGGAGCAGAGTTTGTACTATGCAACTTTTCTGTAAACTAAAGTTATTCCAAAATAAAATGCTAATTAAAAAACACCGCAAATACAGTTGAAGGGGGAAAAAAAAGGCTTTTCTGATATGATGTTTGCAGAGGAAGATGCCTTTTAGTTTATAAATTATTTCCATAATTCGTGACAGTTCTCACATCTGCTACTATAAAATTCATAGCAGCTTCTCTGCCTCTTGGGAAAAAATGCATTTAATTATCAGTGAAATTCAACTTCAGCTTGTTATGATGAATGATTTGAACCTGTCAGCTCCCCCCCAAAAAACAAAAGAACTGAAATGAAATACAGTCTTATTCCTCTACCCCCTTCCTTCCACCTGCTTCATTTAATTGATGAAGGTTTGAGCTTTTATTAATCTTTTTGAGCTCTTCTGTAAGATGCAGAAAAAGCTAATATGATATCATTGTATCTAGCTAATGTGTGTGCTTTGTGAAATTGATACACCCTGCCAAGACATAAATTACTTAAGCTTTGATAAATGTGTTGAAATCAGGGAATGTTCAAACAGATAAAGCACAGCAATTCCTCTTTCTTCCCCTGTTTAAAACTCCATTTTGTGCTTGCAGTTAAATGTTTTGCATTATTATTGTAATATGATGGGACAGAAGACAGCAATGATGTTGAAATTAGCATGAAGAGCCCCAGCAAGTACGAAAGGAAACAGGGGGATACAGCCATGTGTTTAGATAAAGTCTATCTTGCCTTGAACAGAGAGGGTCGCCAACAGCTTCAAAACCACCTACAGTCTTCTCTCAGCATGTTGCATCACAGAAATTATCCATGGGGGAATGTGGGCACCTGCTAGACACTTTGTACTTTCAGCCTTTGCTGACTCATTTGTTAGGTTGGAATCAAAGATCCACAAACACATTTTGTTGGCAAAGAGAGTTCACCTGTACTTGTGATCTGGTGTGAGTCAGAGACCAATGGAAATGGAAACATGAGAAAGCATTTGATTGATGTTCCAGAGTTGAGAAGGTTGATTTCTACTTGGTCGTTAATTTATCACATAGTGTGAAACAAGTTGCTCAATTAGCCATTAATTAGTTTTCTGGAGGTTTGAAAATTCATGTAATCCTTTGGCTATGTGGGTTATAGCCAGTGGAAGGCAGAAGCCTGCCCACTGGACCATGGAAAGGCCATCAATCATTGAGTTTCATTTGCCAAGAAATAGGCTCCATCCATTCTTTTGATTAGTCCTTACAACCAACCATCAAAGGATAGGTGAGAAAACTGGGGTTCTGGTCAGCACTTGAGCAAGGGGTAATGATGTCATCAGGTACCAAACTGCTTTTTCTGTCATGTCATGCTGTTTCCCAGTCAGGTGTAAGTGGGTAAATGGGGCAAGGTTGTGGCTCATCAGCCCTCATCTTCCCCTATTAACTCTTCTGAGGTTAATCATGGCCTTGGAGACTTAAGTCATGAGCCATTTAGCCTTGTAGAGGAGAGGGTGCCTTCTTGGCCAAGATGTTATAAAGTGATAATTTATAACAAGAGGCTGGATGAATAAGTTACAGCAAAGGTAAAGGAAACGGAGAGAGGGAGGCAGCTTTTTAAAAAAACCACAAGAGATACTTTTACTCTTTTAATCATACTCTTGTAGTGGTGTATTATTAATTCCCAATGGCTTTTTGAGTTTGGACTTCGATTTGGAAATCAGCACTTGTGAGAACTGACCATGTATTTTAAAATAATAAATAGATGAAGTTATACACAGCTTTTTCTCAGCTTGTCTAATGTTGTTGTTAAAGCAGGTTAGAAACATGATGGTCTAGGGCTGGGGTTGTGGCTCAGCGGTAGAGCACTCACCTAGCACGTGTGAGGTCCTGGGTTCAATCCTTAGCACCACATAAAAATAAATAAAAAATTAAAAAAAAATGATGGTCTAGGACAAAGCAAAAAAAACTAAATATATAGATATAATATCATACTTATAACATATAAACAGACAGTGTTTATTTTTTTATTTTTAAAGACCAACTTTAAAAGCAGTGACACCTTGAGCAAGTTGGGACCTGAAGAGTAATATGTTAGAGAGAATTTTTTATAAATCAAATTCCATTTCAAGTTCTCACATGAAGAATTTTTTCTAAGGAATTAAAGAGTCTTTATAAAAAAACAATTTTGTTCAATTTATCTATTTGATAGGCTCTATTAGCTTTTGTTCTGTTTTGTTTCAAGCCCATATTTCTTAAGTGAGTCACATATATTTGGGTAAAGTTATATTACAACATAAATGACTTCCAGGAAAATCTTCAGATCTTTAAAAAAAACTTCAGTAAATGTTCACACATTATTATTATTGAATAATCTTGGAACCATCACAACAGAAATCCTAGAAATAAAAGGAGAATCTCTTAAAATGTTGGGGGCCTATTGTGTCTTCCAAAATGCATCAGAATCAGATGAGACTCTATATGATGGCAAAATATACTCATCATTGAAAGAGGGACTCAATGTTTACAGGTTTTCCGTAACAGAAAGTGAGAAAAATCAAGCAAAGCACTGAATCAAGAGAAATTATCCAGTCAGAAAATTTTCAGGAAATTATATAACATACAACATACACTGAGAAGAAGAAAAAAAAAAAAAAGTAGACCATTGCTACTGGTAACAATGAATGTTTCAATATGTAGTTGAAAAAATATTTTTGGATGGAAATATGTATCTTAGTTCTACTAATGAAGTATCAATTAGGACAGTGGTGTTTAGAAATAAGAATTGAGGGGGTTTTAAAGGCATGTGACAAAGAGAACATGTCAGAAGGGATGTGTCCTATGAAAGAGATAAAGGAAAGCAGGAACGAGGGAGGAAGTTTGAAATCTGTACTAAATCAAGGGGTAGAAATGGGGAAGCAAAGGAGCAGCTCTTGCACGCCAGATGCTGAGCAAATGGTATGTGTTATCTGTCAGCATTTCCCAGGCAAGACAAATCTTACTGGAGACAGGTGAAAAATAGTTGACAGACTCTGGACAAAAAGAGTCATGATCACAGAGTGGAGAAATTGGACCTTGATCCCCCAGGGGCTTCTTGCCTGAGCATGTGACTTTGGAGCTCTCTGGAGCAAGGCCAGGACATGTCCCTTAGACCAGTCTTCATCAGTTCTCTGGAAACTCAAGTCAGAATTGGAGCCAGATTACTGAACTCCATGGGCTGCTTTCAGTTGATCTACCTACTTCATAAGTAAGAGTGCTCAACATCAGAAAGCTATAGTTATATAGTATCAGACATATTTTGAGCCACAAATCGTGAGTGATTGTCCCTCTTTCTCTGGTGAATATGCCATCCTTACAACCCTAGGAAAAAACAAACAAGTAATCAATTCAGGATATATAAGCCCCTAAGAAGTTATGGGGTTCTTAATTGTAAGCATATGCATCATTAATTTGCCCTTCTGCCAACATCACTAATTTTAATGAAAATAATTTTTTTAAACCATAGAAATTGGGAAGAAAAGGCTTTAGAAAATTAATCAAGGCAGAAATGTATATGCAACACCCCCTATACTACTCCCATCAAAGGAAAAAATAAACCCCACAATTCCACTCATATATTTGGAGTCCTTGAATACCTCCCTCAAAGTGATCTTGGAAACAGGTGTAGGTAAAAAACACTTTTCACAAGGTTCTGTTAGAACTTAAACTTCTAAAATTTTATGAACATACAAAGAGGACTTCATGTTATCAAACTACACCATGTAGCTCAGTGCAATATTTATAATCCAGGCTGTGTCTTTTTTTTCCAAAATTGTATTGAAAGCAATAATTTCTGGAATAATTTGAGACCAGTTCTACCAAGTGCTTTGCAAGTATGAAAGGACTAGAGCAACGGTACATAAACACAGCGTCTCTTCTCTCCTCATCCTTTTCATCATGCTGACAGTTTTCTGTAGAATCATCACAGGAGTGGTTTGTGCCATTAGAGATAAGAGGCTATCTGTGTTTCCACTAGGAACCTCTATTTTCCAGACTTTATAACTCATCCATAAGTATTCACTCCAGTCAACAGTTTCATATGTAATGATTCTGCCCCTTGAAAATCCATATTGACTCAACTAAATGATTTTTAGAAATCGTAAGGACCCTTGTAGTACAAAAATAAAAGGAAAATCAAATGCAAACAAAGTGCTATATTTCAGTGACTATGATTTGAACTAAAATGCTGTAGAACCAGTAAAACACATGTTCATGATGCTTTCCTAGCAATCCTGTCTTTGATTATAATATTGCTATAATAAAATTTATTAAATCATATAAGTCTACTTATATTTATACTTTTAACATTAACTTATGTTTCTATTAAGATAACTAAATGTGTAATTATATTTTTCCCACTGAAACTTCTGTAAAACCTCTTAACATTAATCACATGCCTTTTTTGTAACAGCTTGAGATAGAATTATATCAAAAACTATAAAATTATATGTCTTAAGCCTTTGAATATAATAACATCCTTAGTATTTTCAAATATATTTACTAGACTTATCAATACCTTATATTCAAATACCTTATAGCTCCTTGGTAGAAATTTCCAGCATCTAAAGCTGTCTTCCAACAGAAAAGACCTCACAAATTTAACAGTTTTTATCAAATGAGAGGCCAAAACATGATACTTTTCACAATCTGGAAAAGAAAATTGTGAAGATGAGGAAACAGAAAGAAAAAAATCCCATCAACCCTCAAAATAAAATGCCCTCTTCCTAATCTTACCATTTTAATTTTTCTATTCACAGTTAGAATTAAATGCTCATCTCGTAATACTGCTGAGACCATCTGTGTGTGTGAATGCTATTTAACAAGACTCCAAATAATATTGAAACTCTCTTGTGCTTTGCCTTCAGTCTGTGTGCATGCTCAAAGCCCACCTGAAGTTGATTTCTCTTTCTTCTTTCCCCACAGCTATTCTGTGATGGTAAAGAGGTGGTGCATGCCTCAGAAGGTCTGGACTGGGAAGACAAAGATGCCCCAGGGACATTGGTTGGAAACGTGGTGCACTCAAGGATCATCAGTCCTCTGCGCCTGTTTGTTAAACAGTCTCCAGTGCCCAAGCCAGGTCCCATGGCATATGCAGACAGCATGGAAAACTTTTGGGATTGGCTGGCCAATATCACAGAGGCTCAGGAGCCATTAGCAAGAACTAAGCGGAGGCCAATAGTGAAAACGGGAAAATTTAAGAAAATGTTTGGATGGGGTGACTTTCATTCCAACATTAAAACTGTCAAACTCAACCTTCTCATCACAGGGAAAATTGTCGACCATGGAAATGGAACCTTCAGTGTTTATTTCCGGCATAATTCAACAGGCCTGGGCAATGTTTCAGTGAGCTTGGTACCTCCTTCCAAAGTGGTGGAATTTGAAGTTTCCCCCCAGTCGACCTTAGAGACCAAGGAATCCAAATCTTTCAATTGTCGCATTGAGTATGAAAAAACAGACCGGGCAAAGAAGACCGCCCTGTGCAACTTTGACCCGTCCAAGATTTGCTACCAGGAGCAGACTCAGAGCCATGTGTCTTGGTTATGCTCCAAGCCCTTCAAGGTCATTTGCATTTACATTGCCTTTTACAGTGTTGATTATAAACTTGTGCAGAAGGTCTGTCCTGACTACAATTATCATAGCGAGACCCCATACTTATCTTCTGGCTGAATCTGTCCACAGTGATAGAAATGAGAGACTCATGTATATTTAATTAGAATGAACAAGAAACAAGCCCAGCTTTTCATGGTACAGGATCCCTTTTGTTTCTGTCAGTGAACCATAGTTTCCTATCACGTTTTCAAATTAAAAGAAAAAGAAACATACTCCAAGGTGAAATGTGTTTGTTTCTATCATAAGTACCTTTATCTAAAGAGTCAAACTGTTTATGAAAACCATCCCTTTCATGTGAGATGGCTAAGATCTAGAAATATTGTTTGTGTAAAAGCAGCATCAAAGGTAGCCACGTGGGGAAAGGAAGGAAGCCAATTTCACATGTGATAGACATTGCTCTTGAAATGAGCCTGCCTTTGAAATATGTTTTGGAAAGTTACCTCAAATTCGGTAAAGATTTAGTAAAATACCTGAAAAGATGGTATTTGATAGATGAATTGTGTTTCTGATATGGATTGCTTTTTTTTTAAATTGCTATCTCTTTCCCCACATTGGTGCCAGTAGTGATAAGAGAGATGAAGGGGTAAAATTTGTTTCAAAACCCGTGTGTAAAGTTACGGTGCCACAGAGGAGCAACCTGAGCAGTTCAGTGGAATGTGATTCAGCATCTACCTAACCTGGTATTGGTCACCACCTTTATGATTCTCATCTGAGTAATAATACTGGTGTACTGGAAAGCAAATTGGGTACGTCCACTCAACAATAATGAAGACCATGATGTTTATAGAGTCTTTTACCAATGTTAATGCTGTGACATTATCAGAAGCAACATAAAATTTGTAGTCATCCTAAGAGCTTATTCCCTCATTCTACTCATTTAATGGTGTGATTTAATTATCTACATATGTAGAACAACTCTGAAATTGAGCAAAAATGGTTGATTCCTTAGACTGGAATGGGAAAAATAAAAATGAAAGCTGAAGGAAGGAATTCCAGGACTGTGAGTTCATAATCTCTAGCCTCTCAGATTAAGTTCTCCTTTTTATTTAGTTAATTTTTAGGAAGAAGGAAGAAACTGTGGTAATAATGAGTTATATTTGAACATTTCTAATTATTAAGCGCTGATATCCAAGATACCTGGCTCACTTGGCTTTTGAAATTACTTCCAAATTAATGTCACTTCACAACCAGTGCCCTTCTCTAATTCCCTGAGGGGCCAGTGGCAACCTGTATGGTAGAACTGGATGATCACTGGATTAGCACAGAAAGAGGATCTGCTTGGCAAGGAAAGAGACTTCTAGAGCTCGGGCTTATGGAATGGTTTGCTATTTACAAGAGATGTTAACTTCTTTCCCCCCTTCTTATCTGTAAAATATCAATTAACGTAAAACATTCAATTGTGGACTAAAGGAAGATAAGTCCTAACTGACAAAAATGCCCTTACCACACTGTTAAGAAAGCCAACAACAGCTCTGTTCTATATTTTTACATCTCCATTCTCTTCCTGTGTGATATCTGCACAGTGTTCGATTTTGTCTTTTGTAAAAATTGTACTAGGCTTAGTGTGTGGTAGTACAGGCTTGAAGTTTTTGCTCTGAGTTCATCAGGTGCTTTTGTAATTTTGTGGTCGGTAAGTAATATTTTGAAGCATCTTTTTATTTTCATCTAGAAACAAGAGTAGAATACTATTTATTGTAAAATACATGGGAACCGTATATGTATATATACTTAGAATTTTCTGTGTACAGAGAAAGTGTGTGTACACATTTCTATGTAAATAAAAAGAATTTGCTAGATCTCTCACATGATTTCAGGGTGGTTATATTTTAAAAAGTCTTTGTTCTTGCTTCTTCTCGGTGATTCTCTCTCTCTCTCTCTCTCTCTCTCTCTCTCTCTCTCTCTCTCTCTGTGTGTGTGTGTAATATCAGTTGAACAGTAACATTTTCCTAATGTACATATTAAATAGGGCATCTCGGCTGTAGGGATTATAGAGTAAAAGAATAATTCACATAGAGCATATGGTACAGAGCCTGACACCTAGTAAGGAACTATAAATGTGATTGTAATTACTACAACATCAAATGAGATTTAAAGCTATTTGATGTTCCAAAGTTGGGAGATATAAACATTATTTCCATGCAAAGGAAAAATACCTCTGTAAATTGATTTATACAATCTGTGGATTTTAGTTGGGTTTATGAAAATTTTTTAAAAGTTTCCCACAGGCATATTTTTAAATTGGAGTAGAACATATGCCACATGTATTTCTAAGTCATAATTTCATTTCCAAGCCTACGTAATTGTCAGTGATGGCGCTTGGCGCAGTATAAATCAGACCCTATTTAAACATGCAAATGCACACATTTCTGCAAAGCCAGTCTTGCCTTTTAGTACTGCAGATGAGGAAAAGGACACTTGTATAAGCTAATTTTGCACCCAGTCATAAATTCTTCAAAAATTAAGAAACACAAGTTTTTAGAATTTATGATTAAACTAATGGGCATATAGAAACTAAATAAATAAAAGTGGTTAGTCCAATGTCAACAAAGAGAAGAGTAATATTTTAAAGAGTGCACCTTATACTGCTATCACAATCCCCTCATTTGAAATAAAGTTATACCCAAGTCCTCATTAAGGTAAAGAATGCACCCAGTAGTGAGTGGCAAACCCAGCTGAAGTGCATTTCTCCCGACTTCTAGTCCCAGGTCTTGTGTTCCATCAGGAAGACAAATTGAAGTAAGGATTTCAGATAACAAACATAATTACAGTGAGTTTATAACAATACATTACCCAAAAACTAAAGAAAAACTATTTGAAATGGCCTTCCTCTAAAATCTACAAGATTGCAGTTTCCTTAAGAATAAAAGATTTTTACAAATTGTAACTACAACCATAGAAGAGTAAAGCTGAGATAGAGGCATTAAGGCAGGTGCAGTAGGTCAGGCCTTGTAATCCCAGTGACTCCAGAGACTGAAGCAGGAGGATGGCAAGTTAGAGGCCAGCCTAAGCAATTCAGCAAGGCCCTAAGCAACTTAGCAAGGCTCTGTCTTAAAATAAAAGAAAGGGAGTTAGGCATGTAGCTGAGTGGTTAAAGTGCCCCTAGGTTCAATCCCAAATTCCAAAAAACTAATTAATAAAAAACTTAAAAGATACATTACATCCAAAGATCAGAGTCCTGGAATATTTTAGAGTTATACCTGGTGAAGAATTAAGAGCAATAGAACACTACATTTGGCAGAGTTTTCAGATGGTTATAGTACCTGAGAAAATATTTTCATGGAAATTGGTAAGTTGTATGAAATAATTATTGATTGCATAAAGGACTGATTTAACCTCATAAAAAATATTAAATTAATTGCCCAACCTGTAAAATAGAGGATAGAGTTATATATATTTTTATTTGCAATAAAACTATAGTTAACCCAAAGTTAATCAGAATTTTTAATGAATGGAAACTTAATATGACCCAATGTAAAAGACAAATCACAGTAAAATAAGCTCCTACTAGAGATATTTTTTCTTTTCTTTTAGATTTTTTTTATTATTATTTTTGTCTTCAGAAAGGTCTTCTAGAAGATATTCAAGGACCATTTCATATTCACTGCATACTGAGGTCTGGAACTCTGGGAACACATCCCATTCTGTTTTGCTTTAATCTTCCTTTTTCTTAATTCAATTCAACTTCCTCCACAAATAGTATGTAATCTAGGTCTGGGGATGTGGCTCAAGCGGTGACGCACTCGCCTGGCATGCTCGAGGTGCTGGGTTCGATCCTCAACACCACATAAAAATAAAAAATAAAGATATTGTGTCCACCTAAAAAAAATCTAGAGAATAAATATTTTAAAAAAATAGTATGTAATCTATTCTCTAAAAGAATGTCTCCTTCACAGCACCTGACAAAGTATCTGGTTTGTAATAGTGTATTAAGATTCTGCAGAGAAACAGAACCAATAAGATATGTATGGATATATGATATTTATTATTTGAATTAGCTCACACAGTTCTGGAGGCCGAGAAGTCCCATGATGTGCCACTGCAAGCTGGAGAGCTAGAAGAGCAGACAGTATGATTCGTCCAAGGCCAAAGGTGTAACCACTAGGAGCCCTCACGTCCAAGCAGAGGACACCTGAATGTCTTTGCTCAGAAACAGCAAGAAAGTGAATTTGTGTTTCCTCCACTTTTATATTCTATCCAGCCCTCAATGCGTTGTGTAATGCCCACCATATTGGTTAGGGTAGATTCTTACTCAGTTTACTGATTCCAATGCTAATCACTTTCTGAAATACCCTCAAAGAAACACCCAGAATAATGTTTTTCCAGCTAAACATCAGAGTATCCCATGACTCAGTTTTGTTGACAGATAAAATTAACCATCACATGTAAATTTTTGATCAGCATCTGTTATTTGATATTTTCTTAATCTCCAGTGTAATAAAATGATTACTCAAGACCCACTCTTTTCACACAAGGTGAGAGTTATTTTGCGCCATTTCCAGAACAAAAACCTTGCTCCAGCTGAACACAGTATCCACTGAATATTAGTTCCCAGAACCATAGGCACTTAAAAGTTAGAAACAATTTTGGAATTCATCTAGAATAAGTTTTGCTTATCAGCTAAAGAAATAGAAACCTGATGGGGATTAATAGCCTCGTCATTCTTATTGTTCTTCCGGACAAGATAAAGCCATTCTTTCTCTTCTTCATTCCTCCAAATTATGGGTGTTTTTCTTCTGTGATAGAGACTCCCAGATGTCTACCACAATATGTTCTATATTTCCATTAGAATGAAAAGGTCAAGTATATGGCTGGCCAGCTACATTGCATGCCCCTGCCACTCACATAGAGAGGCGCCTTGTGGAGCTACAGTGAGAGCCAGGGAGGGGTACACTTTCAAGAGTGGAGTGACATCCAAGTGCACGCATGCTCTTCTGTGCTCCTTCCCCATCTTTCCCTTGGATAGATGCCCCAAGGGACCCATTGAAAGAGGAAAAGCAACTGCTAACCTGAGTGCTTTTCTTATCACAGAAGAGAATTACCACATCTCCAAACCCACCCTGGACTCCTATATGAGTAATGAACACACATTTCT